CTCGTCGCCGCCGTCCCCTGCGCTCTGCAACACGCAACACACTCCTTCAACCTCTTCTGCTCGTCACTGCCGTCCCCTGCGCGTTGGATCGGGTAGCACTCTTTGGCTTTTTGTCTCCTGTCGCCACTACTCAAGTCTTAAACGACGCATTTAAAGTATAAATTGACGTTTTCATTTGATTAATCTTCTGTTTAAAATATTTTAACGAAAGAAAAATCGTAATCAATTTTGAGATTTCTCTGTGAAATTGCCTAACACCTGACTTAACGTGCAACATTTACCCGAAACGTGTTTTATTTTCAATAGAAAAATTAAATTTTCTTCGGAAAAAATATGAACTTTGGCTCAAAATAAAGTTAGTGGGACTTAACAGCACATTCTTTTAAACATTATTTCTAAATTTTCAATTTTCGAAAAATAGCAAAGTGCAACGAAAGTGAAAACTGACCCATTCCTTATGTTTTCCTTGTTCTATAGGAAAACATTTGAAGAAATAATTTGGTGCGAGTTTTGATAAAAAAATGTAGTTTACAATAATTTCAAGCAGAAAGTGCACGAAAATTGCTCAGTTTTGGAAAAATCTTCATGGCGTTTTTTTATTATAATGTTTACTTTCTTACCCATACATTCTAAGACGAGAAATTATTTTAATCGAGCGCGAAAATATTTTAATCGTAACGGGTGCGAATAAATCTTCTTAGATACAGTACATTTCTTCCTCTAACACGTTCAGTAGTCATAATCCATTTGTGAGTCCATGATATCTAAAAATCGATTGACAGCAGAAAGTCTGCCCGCCTGTAGTCATAGCTAGCTCCTAAACAAAAACTAAATATTTCAATTGCTAATTGCAAAAAGTTAACATTTCGAAACTAAATGTTGAAAATAGAGATTTTTGCCTGAAAACAAATTTGTTTTAAAATCCGCTCTTTAAAAAGAATAATGTACAATTTCATAAAAAATAATCATTTCGGGTAATTTCTGATTGAAAATAACGCAGTCTGTAAAAAACACATTTTCTCAAAAGCTACACTATTTTTTTCAGTTGTTAACAAATAAATAGATAAAACAAGAAACGTTTAAAGGACTGGCGCAGGTTTCATTTTCGTTGAAATCTCTGAGTTATTGATAATTTCAAATTCAGAAATAATGCTAGAAATATGTGCAGTTGTAGCCCTAATATTTAAAACATATTTTGTTTAAGGTTTGGTTATAAAATATTTGTCTTCTAAAGATAATTTTTTTACTATTAACCTTTTGCGATTACGGAAATACAGATTCCGCTGGAAATGACACTAGCGCCAATTTTGCTCTCTCATACTTCTTAAGAAGAGAGGTTTTGTAATATTGAGCCGGAAAACGACTAATTTTTGACAGAAAAACTCATTGCGGCGCTCTGGTAACGAAAGAGTGGATAAAGTGAATTATTTCCTCTAACTTGTTGTGTAGTCAAAATCCATGTTTTGTGTGTCCTTGATATCGAAAAATAGGTTGACGACAATCCATCTGTCTGTTCGTCCGTCTGTGGTCAAAGCTTGAGTCAAAACCGTTCAGACGATTTTCCCCCAAAAAATTATATTCCACGGTCGATTTAGAAGATCTCGAAACATTCTGAATTTGAAAAAGATGTTTTGTTTCTTTTGGGGAGTACTACTTTACATAAAGCCTCGACATTTTCAATAATGTACTAATAATAGGTACACATTTTATAATAGATAACATTTATCTTTTGATTTCGTAAAGGGCTCTTAAAAAGGATAGTATCGGTCTCATTTTCGATCTTCATTCGACGTTTCTGATTTTTCGTAAATACTTAAGATTCAATTTTTTTGGCGTCATTCTACAACTACTACATTGATGATATGAAGTTCTTCCTAAATAAAAACTACTTGTGAAAGGCAGATGTTGATACACGGTCACGCACAAATTTTAGGCAATATGAGTAATTTCCACGTAGTTTGGTTTGAAATACAGGCAATATTTAATTTGTTTTAAACAATTCTTTCTCAAATACGGCTCTTATTTTTTTTCTCGGACATCAAATACAATACTTTCTCTTTACTACGTAAGGACGTAGGTGAGAATGTAAAAAGGTTAGAGAGCTTATCTATACACAAGTACTAATACGAATTTAAATATATTTTTAACACAATTACTTTCCCACGTATCTTCCTGGCAAAAAAATGTAATTATACTTACATAATAATAGTATCAAAACAATCTGGCTTCCTTCACCTTCTCAATTCCCTAATTTATTTCTGCTCTCAATTTACGCTCCGAAATTAATTCTTTATTCTCAATTCTACGAACGATCTGGAACAAAATATTTTAGTGTCGACATCAAATGAAAGGAGAAATCTATTTAAAATTATAAGATGGGCGTATTTATGAAGATATGTTTTACTCGGTGCACTATATCTTTTTACCTTTATCATCGACCTTCCGTCTACCTGTACAATACCCAAAGAAATAATAAATGAAAAACACAAACGTTTTCTAATTGCTCATAGTAACTAGGTTAAGAAATGAGAGTCTATTGTTTATATTCATCGAATATTTCATTTCAATACCAGGATGTGTAGAGTTGGAGGCTCTGGAATCCAGTCAAATAAGTTCCACCCGAAAAAGATGATTGAGTGAAATACTCAACCGCAAACATGAAGATGAAACATGAAGCTCGTGTACTCGCGTAAAACATTTGCAATTGATATAATTAAGCATTCACAGTATGACAGAAGAATTAAATAAAACATTTAAATAATTTTCCTTTTCCGACATTTGATGGAACTGCAAATTTTTCTGCGGGGCATCCAGCCGACACTTCTATCAACTATCATACTGATTGTAGGACTTCATATGCATTAATTGTAGAGCAGGTTGTCAAGTGAAGAACTATCTATATTTTAATTAAAATTAATGTTCACTTCTATGTAATATACCTCTTTGAACGATATCTTCAGGAATTTTGTTAGAGCGACAGATTTCAGGAGTCAAGTACGGGAAATATTTTTTAGAAATAAGTTCACTTGTGCTTTGTGGTTTCAATTAAATTCAGTTATAATTTCGCATATAATATGCACACACATAAGTACACGAATACACGCACGCACATACATACATACATACATACATACATACATACATACATACTGAAACGAAGAACGTTTCTGCATAATAACAATAAAAATTGATTACTAATTCTAATTAAAAGAAGCACTAAATCGATCAGCGTAGTAACG